GTCAGAATTATCCTGATTTCACGATTTCTTTCATCATAATTATCCTGTTTTCAGGATTTTTATAGCGCGCCTTTGTAAATCCTCTGGAAAATGATACCATATTCCTATGCCATGGTGGGGCTTTAAATCTTTTGGTATTTATTTCCTGGATGTTCATTTTCCTCCAGTCTCAGCCCTGGTGTATGGTGTTATAAATTGTGTGAATAAAGGACAAATGTCAAGTACATGTATATAACTGTATATATTTCAATGCATTCTTGGAATGCAGTCTTCCAAAGGCATCTTTTTCAATGTGTCTCAGTTGAATCGCCTTACATTTGAGTGGAATGATTACAAATGAAGCTCAATAGGAATGGTTAATATAGGAATGATACGGTATTTATAGTCATGTACAAGTCGAACAGTGATCATGAAAGACAGAGAGAGTCGGTTGAATCTTACAAAATACTACATTAATGAGTTAATTGCCATGTGTGATACATGACACTGCTGAAAAAAGCACCAGTTAGAAAAACGGATCCACACATGCTGCTTGCCCTTCCATTTGCTGTTCCTCAAAATCTTCATTTTCAAGCCCCTGACTAATGTCAATTTTTCTTTCAACAAAAAGAAAAACTCTCTTGACCTTAACTATCTCTTAATATATTAAGTGCTAAATGCATTTTTTGTCCAGCACTGATGGTTTTGAAGTTTTGTGCGCATATTATATGACAAGCTGTTTTCTCATCAACTTGCAGCAGTGCACCAGATGCTTTTGATGGTCATGCCCAAAGATTTTTTAGCGCTGCGTAGCGGCGCAAGATGGAGAACTTGGCCAAAAGGTGCTATCACCATAGGTGCCATTTGAGTGTGAATGTTAATGCATAGATGCAGGCATACCAGGTGTGCGTGCCTGTCACCTTGCCTGCGCCTGTTGCATAAGCAACGGTATTAACAATTCTGCCACCTTAATTGGCACTGCATTTGAAATCGAAAATGTGCACCGATTTGATTTCAGTATGTTTTCTTTAACTTTTCGTAATAAAAAATTGCCAAAACACACATTAATTAAGCATTTTATGCAAACGATTGCTGAAAATTATATGATGTTGGTATTCAAGAATAATGATTTCTCTCCCTTCCAGAGTTCAAGCAGTATTTCCATCACCTGATCCCAAAGCCATGAAGGACAAGCGAATGGGAAAAGTGGTAGCCTATACGCCAGGCCTGAAGAATGGAAAAGGACATGTATGAGCCAGTAGGGTAAATGATGGACAGTCTTTTGTTGTGTAAGGAATTCATACCTTTTTCTTGATAATCAAACAACCGGGAGTGTGCTGGATATTCAAGTGTTTGATNTGTGCCTGTTGCATAAGCAAAGTGTATTCACACCCAAATGCCGCCCACGTGATAACGTTTTAGGCGTATTCACGGTGAAGTTCTCCATCTTGCGCCGCTGCATGGTGCTATAGAATCTTTGGTCATACCCTGCCTTCTTAATACTTTCTTTCAACATATGCATTGATCTCGTAGATACCTCTGATGATATGCCAGCTTTCGAATTTGTTGTTCCCCTGACCAGCAATGCTGGTATGGGTATTACCATGCCCATCCCTGGCAACACACAGCCCTGGCAGCAGTTTGTCTCCCAGGATTTGCGCTATCACATTGTCTTTAAACTGTACGTAAAAACCTTGATTGTGCCACCTTAATTTGCACTGCATTTAAAATCAAAAATGTGCACCAATTTGATTTCAGTATGTTTTCTTTAACCTTTAACGGAATAAAACCTTGCCAAAACACACATTAATTAAGCATTTTATGCAAATGATTGCTGAAAATTATATGATGTGGGTATTCAAGAATAATGATTTCTCTCCCTTCCAGAGTTCAAGCAGTATTTCCATCACCTGACCTCAAAGCCATGAAGGTCAAGGGAATGGGAAAAGTGGTAGCCTCTGCCCAAAGAATGGGAAAGGACATGAGCAAGCCAGCAGTAAGGTAAATGATGTACAGTCTTTTGTTGTGTTAGGAATTCATACCTTTTTCTGGATAATCAAACAACCGGGGCTGTGCTGGATATTCAAATGTTTGATCAGTCATCAAATACTTGAATATTTGTTTTCAAAATCAAGCATTCAGAGTTAGAAATCAGTAAAATAAAAGGGGATGTAATGAAATCATTTAGTTACAAAATTGCATTAAACAGGTATCTCCATTGTAACACACCTCTTGCTGGCTCTTTATCCCAATTGGTTGAAATATAGTCAGATGTTTAGGTCAGTACATGAATCTGGCATCATCGTGAATCATACACCAAGACATTATGCACATGTGAATTCCAGAGACTAATGCCTGGCCAGGCACCAGCACTTCAGAGTTTGTACTGGAGCCTCAAATGAGCAGAACATTGAAGTACAATTCTAAAACACTCAATGGAAAATAGAAGTGTTACTGTAATTATTGAATTGCTTTTTGAATTGCTGAGTC